TCACATCATTTCGCTTATATTGTTAATTTGAAAGTTATTTTTATCATGCATTAAAGAGAGATTTAGCTTTTTATAATGGTGTTAAATTAAGTAATCATTTGAGTGGCAATTATGTAAAATATTCCATTATCATATGTCATGTACGTTAGCACTTTTACTTTACTTTACTGTACTAAAACACTAACTATTAGTATCGATACAAGTCTAACATATGCTTCATTAAAATATTAAAAGTATTCAATCATGCAATAAAAAGTATTGATGTGGTTTTTGTAGCACAAAATAAGACAGGAAATGTGGAGGATGAAGATGAGGAAATGGAAGATGTGGGACTAGAAGCTGAAGAAAATGACACTTTATATGATTTAGATGATGAAATTGATGAACTTGAGAAACTTACAATGGATCTTGAACCACAATACCAACGGTATGCTAAATGGCGAATCTAAATAGATGCTGTTAGCTTGTTGTTAACACTAGACTTAACAGACCAGTAAAAATGACTGATGAAGGATATTTTATTTTGCAATTATTAAAATTTTATTGAGCAAATTTATATATTCAGGCATGTATTATAACGAGAATTACGTGAAGTCTAAATCAATGCAGTTATTGCTTGTTATTTTTGTAAGGCAATACGAATCAGTCGCTTTTAATGCTCAGTAGTTCTAGTGTTAATACTCGATGGTAGTTATCTAAAATAGAGAAACAATCCAAGGAACAAAATTGTTCTGTGCGAGAAAGGTGTATGAAGGGATCTTAACATTCTTATTTTTGTGCATTAGAATGGGCTATTTAATACATTGCTACAAATATCTGTTATTTCTGCTAATGAAGAAAAGTGTAAAAGAAGTTATTTAGTTCAAAGGAAACTATATTTCCAATTGAAGTTGAATTTTTTAAACACATAGTTTCCAAAATTTCAATTGATATTTTTCTAACAACAGATGGGAATCAAGTTCAATTATATATATATGCCTTTTACGATTTTATTAAAAAAAAAGAGTGAAAAATTGCAAACAGTTTTACTAAAAAATGTAAATAAGTTATATTCGAACACTACAATTGGCAAAGAGGACAGGTTAAAAAGATATAATACATAATATAATATTATCTACGTTTTTATTAGCGGAAATTTTAGTAGATAATTGATTCTAGTCTGAAAACCTATTGATCTATTATAAACCATACTGTGCATTCAAAATGTAGATAACACACCAAAAAGACGACGAGAATTAGATGGTTTATAATATAATATAAGATACAATTTGCAAAAAGTGGTAAAAAAAAAAAAATTATTTAAATGTGTGTTATTGATAAATTTAGCGTTCAAGATAAATCGGAAGCAATGCGAAAATACGCGCAATTTAGAAATGAATTACCATGCGAATATAATACATGTCTATATGCATAGTTGAGTATATAAGTTAATATATACACACATCACAAAAAGAAGGTGTCGTTTAACAAGAAAAATTCGAGTCTATTTATCAGTCAGTAATGAAAATGATA